TCCGGATGCGCGCGCAACCCTCTGCGGAGATCGTGCGTGTCTAGTGCACGAAATGCAGGCGAGAGTGCGATATATACTTGCAAGAGGACGCATATACTTGCAAGAAGTTTCACGCACGCCACAAGCTTTTGCAATATTCATATCCCACATGAACCTTTACAAGGCAAGCAGAGCCTTCTTATGGCTATGCATGCGCTATTTACTACTTTGCAGCCCACTAGCTCGTAGGTCTGCCTCTTGGCCCAGCCATCATGCCAGGGAACCTTGGCATTGTTGACGACCACTTCTTCAGCGTCAACCAGGATGACCAGAGACAGGTGTGCCTCTGTTGGTCCTATGGAGGCAGGACATACCATGACGACCAGCCAGAGCTCATCCATGAAAGATGGCCAAGCCAGTCCATAGCAACCAGACGCTGGGTTGCCCATGGAGAAACCTGGCAGTTTTGGCGAGTGGTCCAGTGGTCCAGTGGATGGGAAAACTGGGTTAGGAACAACAGCCGCAACTTCACAGATGCCTACACCATCCAGATCTGCTTCGGGTGGACGAGCTAGACCCAGACCAGGCAAAGACCCTGAATGGAGGTGAACAAATCATAAGATGTTCACATGATAACCAGAACAGCGAGAGTACGCTAAAACATCTACAGTGCCTGCTGTGTGTCACCTCACGCTACTTTGTCGCGTTTTTCTTTGAGACAGTCAATTAATCAATGACAAGCATAGTGGTTGGTTAACTACATCCTAGAAAAGCTGTGTCCTGGAGTGAAGTAAACGTTTTTGCCCGGAAGATATATATCGATGGACGCATCTCCTCTGACAGGTCACTGCTTCGAGACGCTTCTGGCGTGGCTGCCTCAGCATTTTCTGTGTTCATTCCAGCTCGGTTTTTTCAGTGAGATTCCCTGCAGCCGTGCGCGCTGCTTCTCCCCTTACCAGCAGCTCACATGCTCATGACGATGAGCTGGGCTGTCACCGCTTGGCTGCCGGTGGGGGTTGGGAGGCGGCGCGCTACTTCGTTCATCTCCTCTGACAGGTCACTGCTTCGAGACACTTCTGGCGTGGCTGCCTCAGCATTTTCTGTGTTCATTCCAGCTCGGTTTTTTCAGTGAGATTCCCTACAGCCGTGCACGCTGCTTCTCCCACCAGCAGCTCACATGCTCATCCGCTTGGCCGCCGGTGGGGGTTTGGGAGGCCTGCGCGCTACTTCGTTCATCTCCTCTGACAGGTCACTGCTTTGACACACTTGTTGCGTACCTGCCTCGGCACTTTTCTGTCCTCATTCCGGTTCGTTTTTTTCCGTGAGCTTTTCCTGGCGCCGTGCACGCTGCTTCTCCCCTTACCAGCAGCTCAAATGCTCATGACGATGAGCTGGGCTGTCACCGCTTGGCCGCCGGTGGGGGGTTTGGGAGGCCGCATCACACACAGACACCCACGCACTGCCTCAACTT